GCTAGTGTTAGATGGTCAAGTTATTATTATTTTTCATAATAATTAAAAAGAAAACAAGTAGATATAATAATAGAAAAATAATTGAGAATGCTAGTATTAGTGTCACGTTTATGGTCCGTTATTGAACATCAATGTTGTGTTTCCTGTGTGTCCCTGCCTGCCTTGTTTTACCCCGTCTTGGATGATTAAATACATTTACTTTGAGTTTATCCCACGTCTCCTTGTTCTTCGTTTCATCACAGAAGGCAACCGTGACAGAATACCGGACCAACACAGTAGTAAGCGGCGCTCCTTCTCCACATTTTGTTTTCCGTTTTTTGAAAATGTTTTCTTTTGTTTTCCTGTTTTCCCCCCCGCGGCAAGGAAACCACCGCACGCTTCACCGCGCCGTTGTCAACCCCGCCGGCTGTGGCTCACACAAGCCCACTGGCCGCTGCTCACTCCAGCCCGCCAGCCGCCCCGATGTCAAACCCAACGGCCATTCAGCACTCAAGTTCTCCGGCCTCTCCTCTGTCAAGCTCTCCCTCTCGCCGGCCCAAAAGAGGAAATTACGGAGGAAGAGACTGTGAGCTCCAGCCCCAGAGCTCGCTCCAGTGTGGGCTCCTGTTCCCGAGTTTAGCCCAGTGAGGGCTTGTGTTCCCGAGTTTAGCCCAGGGATGGCTCCTGATCCCCCGTTAAGCCCAGGGAGGGCTCCTGATCCCCAGTTAAGCCCAGGGAGGGCTCCTGATCCCCAGTTAAGCTCAGAGAGGGCTCCTGATCCCCAGTTAAGCTCAGGAGGGCTCCAGTCCCCAGTTTTGGCCCCGAGAGGGCCTTAAAGCCCGTTATCCTCTCCAAGTATTTTTTTTTGGGGGGGGTAGTAGAGGCCGTAGAGGCCGGGGTGAGGGCTGAGGCTGCGGCCTTCCAAGCTCCCTGCTCCGCCATGGCCTTCAGAGCTCCCTGCTCCACCATGGCTTCCCGAGCTCCCTGCTCTGCCATGGCCTCCTGAACTGCCTGATCCGCCATGGAGGCCTTCCTAAGGGCTCCTGATCCCCAGTTAAGCTCAGGAGGGCTCCAGTCCCCAGTTTTGGCCCCGAGAGGGCCTTAAAGCCCGTTATCCTCTCCAAGTATTTTTTTTTGGGGGGGGTAGTAGAGGCCGGGGTGAGGGCTGAGGCTGCGGCCTTCCAAGCTCCCTGCTCCGCCATGGCCTTCAGAGCTCCCTGCTCCACCATGGCTTCCCGAGCTCCCTGCTCTGCCATGGCCTCCTGAACTGCCTGATCCGCCATGGAGGCCTTCCTAGTCCCCGTCCTGCACCAGCCTCCAGGGCGCCCACCCCCCCTCCCCGGTGGAATATTTATGGCGCGGAATGCGTCTTTTGGGAAGGGGGAGTGATGTCACGTTTATGGTTTGGTATTGAATGTCGATGTTGTGTTTTCTGTGTGTCCCTGCCTGCCTTGTTTTACCCCGTCTTGGATGATTAAAGACATTTACTTTGAGTTTATCCCACGTTTCCTTGTTCTTCGTTTCGCAACAGAAGGCAACTGTGACAGTTAGAGGGTCAAGATTTTTTTGTTTTGTTATTGTAATAAATAAAAATAAAACAAGTAGATAGAATAGAAATAGAATAGATAGTTCTAGTGTTAGAGGATCAAGTGTAGATGGAAGAGATGTGTTTTTAGGCATTCCTTGAAGATGGCTAAGGACTCTTCTAAGCTGCGTGGATTGAGATGGGCAGGTCATTCTGCCAGCAGGGAACAGTGATGGTAAAAGCCAGTGAAAGTGATTTTGTGTCTCTTGGGGACAGCACTATAACGCGCTGTTCACTAGTAGAAACGCAAGCTTCTGGAGGTACATAAGTCTGAAGTAGTGAATTTAGGTAAAGGGGTGCAGAGCCAGTGGTTGTTTTGTAGGAAAACATCAGTGCCTTGAATTTTATGTGAGCAGCTACTGGTAGCCAGTGCAAATTGATGAACAGAGGTGTGACGTGTTCTTTTCGGCTCTTTAAAGACTAATCTTACAGCCGCATTCTGAATTACTTGTAGAGGTTTGATAGAAATGGCTGGAAGACCTGCTAAGAGAGCGTTGCAATAGTCCAGCCTGGACAGAACAAGAGCTTGAACAAGGAGTTGTGAAACATGTTCCGAAAGAAAGGGCCTGATCTTCCTAATGTTGTGTAAGGCAAATCTGCAGGACTTGGCATTTTAGCAATATGATTACATGGAAAGCCTTTTTATAGAAGGTTTTTTCTAGAATTTTTTAATTGGTGTGCAATGCTAAATGACGTGAACATAGGTGTCTGGGTTATTTTGTATGCAATATTAACAGGTTTGTGAAGTAAATCCCATTTTAAAGGGGTCATATGACATTGCTAAAAAGAACAATATTTTGTGTATTTGGTGTAATACAATGTGTTCACACGGTTTAAGGTAAAAAAAAACATTCATTTCCACATACTGTACATTATTGTTGCTCCTCAATGCCCCGCCTTTCTGAAACGAATTGATTTTTACAAAGCTCATCGCTCTGAAAAGCGCAGTGTGCTCTGATTGGCCAGTGATCTAGTGTGTTTTGATTGGCCCGAATACCTCAAGCATGTGACGGCAATGTTACACCCCTTACCAGGTTCAGGAAACTTTCCTCCGTAAAATGCGCTGCACACACCCGAATATTTGGGTTGAACTGTTGTGGAACAGTGTTGTAAACTAGTGTTGTAGTTGTGTCCTCTTTTGGAAGACCAAACAAAGTAGTTTGGCTTAAGCAATGAAACACGCAGCGTCTCCACGACATGGCGGCGGCACAACAATACTACAGCGAGAATAAAAGTTATGCCTTCTTTATTTGCGTATACATTTGGGCGGTGTTATGCAAATCTTCCCACATAGTGACGTAGATTTGTGGGGGCGTGTTTAAACGAGGCATTTTAGGAAGGCATGGCTGAGCGTTCACTTTTAGAAAGAATATCTCTTTAGGCTTGAGACTTTAATCTTTTCGACTTTAAAGATCTTCTGTATGCACTAACAGTTTTTAACACTCCAAAGACAAAGGTAAACATGAAATTGCATCATATGACCCCTTCAAACAATTTCAATATCAGACTTTAAATTCAAACACTCTGCTCGTTGCAGATTATAAGTGTGTCTATAGTTTCTTCTGACATGGTCATTAAAAATTAATGCTTAGTGATGTCATTATCATTTAGATGATGTTTTATTTATAAGCAACACTATCACGGTGAATTAAATCAAAAACATATTTCAGTGTGATTCAACTAAACCTGGTTCTCTGAAACTCAATTCAATCATTTGTTTCCACAGGGATTTTATGGATTGAGGTTATGGCGAATGGACAAGAAGGTAAGACTCCTTCAGTTTATTGACACGTTTGTTCTGTTTTGTCTGTTTGAACTGGCATATATAAAAGTACTTGGAAATTTAGCCCTGCAATAAAGCTCTGTTGTGGTTTGATGTTTGATGTTCAGAACTATCTATTTATATATAACCTCATTAAGCATGTTGAGCATCTATTTATGTATATGCACATCCTTAGTTTTCTGTCTGGACAAATGCTTTTTTGCAAATGCTATTTTTTATTTTTTTTTGTACTTTGTAATGTTTGATCAAAATGTCATATCTTGTTCTTCTGGTGAAACAACAGACTTCTCTCTGGTGATGTACTGTATATATGATTCTCCCATCATTTAGTGCACTTAAACTCCAATTAAACCCCTGCAAGCTCGCATTCAGATCCACCTCCACATTTGAGAGCCATGCCCACATGTGAACATCCGGTTGACACCTGATGCATCGTACCAAGTCCCTACATTCATTGCTATTAATAATCTGTTTCACTCAAATGTACATCACAATAGAAAAGAGGCGTTACTTCCATTTCATCACAACTTTAAAATCATGTATAGTCCGTATATCAGATTATAATGCTTTCTCTATAATATAACATACCAAACCAATCACGATATAAACCTAGATTATAATTATATGAAATAACAAATGTCGGATATCTGACCAAATAAACGATGCTCACTGTAGGATCATTGTAAATAGCTGTGGCATTTGTTTGCAACCCTTCAGTTCTGCCCCTGTGGTAGGCATGGTGCTGAAGATAAGTAATAAAGATGAATTTGGTAAAAGTATACAAAAAAAAAAAGTGAGAATAAAAAGATGGTGATTCTTACTGGCCTTTATCCCTGAAACATTTTCCAGAGAATGCAGCACTATGGGGCAAAACTAGTCAGTCATCAAATTACTTACAATCAGGACCTGAATTGGCTCTTGACGGACTGTTAACCAGCTGGACCCACACTAACAATGAGACCAACCCGTGGTGGAGAGTGGATCTACTGAAGGTATACAGAGTGAACAGGGTCACCATCACTAATAGACCAAGCAATGGCTTGAGGATTAACGGGGCGGTGATTCGTATTGGAAACTTCCTTGACATTTACAACAACAAAATGTGAGGATATTTCTTTGACTGTCTTGGTTAATATGACTGCAGATGAACAGAAAATTATAACGATGATATTTCTGTCTGTAGATGTGCTGTAATTTCCACTCTTGCAGACGGTGCCACGGCCACTTTCTCATGTGGTGCGATGGAGGGACGTTATATGATTGTTCATATTCCTGGAGATAAGAAGATTCTTAGTCTTAGTGAAGCTGGAGTCTACGGGTATTTGGCAGGTAATTCAAAAAAATGTCTAGTAAAGACAGTTAATTCTAAACAGTCATGCTTTATTCATGCTCATATCCTTCCAAATTAGCAAGTCATCATACATTAAAATACATCAGTACTAATCCCTTTCATTGTACTGATTATGCTGTACCATGTATATGTGATGTTTAAAAACCTTGACTTTTGTGACGTCAAGTGATCCGTTTATAAAGTCAAACATAAAGAGATAAACTCATCTACTTACTAGTCGCTTTCACAGTTTATAATCAAGCTCTTGCAACTATTCTAACTCAAACTTTCAGGGAACATGTTTAAAGGGTTAGTGCACCCCAAGATAAAGATGCTGTCATTTCATTTTTAGGTGAATAAAACCCTTAAAATAAAGATTGAAAGAGTTGTTGAAGCTTAATGATGGTTGACGTTGAAGTCATGTGACCATGGTGTAATGTTTCTTAAAAGCTACGGTTAGTTTTTTACTTCTGCCGATTGTATTTCAGACTTCAAAATGTGTTTATTCGTGAAGATTGTCATAAACTTTTGGTGGTCACAGAGCTTGTTTTCTGCAATACAAAAGCCAGTGGTGAGTGGCAGCTCGAGGGGCTTGCAGGAAACGTGAGCATATAATGCTGACCAGCACAAAAGTACATCAATTGTGCTACATTTGCACAAGTTACCATTTCCAAGCACTGACTGAAACAAACGTTTCATTCCAATTGAATGTTATTGAAGATGGAAAGATGGGTTGTTGTAAAAGAGGTCATTAGTGTTCCACCAGGTTGTTGAGGTACTAATCAAGTAATTATTGTGAAAATAGTTGTGAGGGAGTCATTAGACACAATGTCATTTTGTGTATAATAATGTTGACAGTAGTAGAAATTATTCACTTCACCTCAAGTCACTGTTCACGAATAATCGTCTCAACCACTGCAACGTTTGTGCATTAAGATGTTTTCTTTCCTCTTCTTTCTTTCTTTATATATCTTCTTTTTTTTTTTTTACTAGGAAATCTGGCAGTGGATGGAGCCGCTACACAGTCATCAACATTTACGGGCTGGTTTGCTGAAAAGGCCATTGATAGTAATCGAGGTCTCCAGCAGAATACAGCATGCTCATCAACCCTTAATCAGACTAACCCGTGGTGGAGGCTGGATCTGCGTCACATTTACAGAGTTAGTAGAGTGGTGGTCACTAACAGAAAAGACTGCTGTACCGAACAAATGAACGGAGCGGAAATTCGCATCGGAAACTCTTTGGAGAACAACAGCAACAACAATCCCATGTGAGATCCTTGAGGTTGAAAGAATGCGAGACATTGAGCACAAATGTGAAGGATTACTGCAGATATGACAGTATGTTTATATAATTTCTCTCTGTCTGTAGATGTGCTGTTATTCCTGCTATTCCAGCAGGTGAGTCCTACAGCTACTCGTGCGGTGGGATGGATGGACGTTACGTGAATCTGATCATTCCTGGAGACATGAAGATACTCACTCTCTGTGAGCTGGAGGTCTATGGAGAAGGTGTAACAATTTGTTTTGTCAACAAAACAGTGAGGAGCACTTCTACATTTTTACTGAAAGCAACCTCTACTAATTCATAATACATGCACCACTGTATCTTTGTTTAGGTCCAGTTTTACAAAGATCTTTTGTAAAGATGCAGTTTAAGTCCAGAGTTGATTTAACTGACCCTTCCGTGAGAGAAAACGTTCTGAAACAGGTGAGAGAAAGAAACAAATTCATCTGCCATGATTACTGTAAAACACCAGTAGCTCTCATCTGGTTTCCCTCTTTTTACAAACCGACCTCATAGTCCTGAAATTGATTGAAATTCAGTGAATCCTTTAAATGTCTTTGTGAACATTTTAAGGCTTGCTGTGATTGATTTTTGTATTGCATTTCAGAGATTTACATGAAACCTGAATTGTTACTGAAGATTTCAGTGATTGTATTTAAAATCAAGGTTTTTTTCAGAAAATTCACCAAATACTTTTACTAATGAGTTGATATTGCTTCAGAGCTGCTTTATGCTGAATTGTTTTAATCAGGGGTTACAGTGGTATGATACATTTCTTTGAGACATGAAGATTTGAGCATACTGTCATATCTAATCAGTTTAGTATGAATATGTTATTTTCAGTTGGGATCTGCTCTGGTTGACAGAGGATTCACAAACGTGACTCTGCGGTGGTCTCAGACCCCTAAACGGGTGATCCAGAAGGTGACTGCTGGTAAAAGTGAGTCTGTTCTCACAACTGTACAATAACACATGAAATAAGCTGCACTATTTGGAATGATTCTAAATTTGGTTTGAGATGTAATAGGCAAATATTTTATTTACAGGTCACTGTGGCAATGGAAGATAACACACTGGACATCAACACTTTGTCTTTATTTCACAAACTTTACATTTGTTAAAGACATTAATTCTGATTCTAAATGCATTGGCTGAAATTTCTTTATAATTATGCTTACAATGAAAAGATTTAATTCACTTCTGCTTACTTCCTTTTAGTGCTTATTCACATATTTAAGAATTATAAAGCACCTTGTGTAAATGTGTATTGTAAACAAATAGAGATAGTAATAAATATAATGAAAATAATCAAAGAAATGTTAAATGTACATTCACACAACCCACGAGTGTAATTTTAATGTCAGTTTTATGTTTTTATTTAAATTTATTTATTTACTATTCTTCCTGACATTTCATGTTGTTGGAACTGTATTGAGGTGAACAGAATCTCACGTGAATGGAAAGAGTACAGCGCAAGCGTTCTATCTGTTGTCCAATGACTTGCCTAATAAACCTAACTTGCCTAATTAACCTAATTATTCCTCTATGCCTTTAAATTGCACTTTATGCTGAGGATTATTATCTTGCAAAACAACTAGTAAAATAATATGTACTGTACTGTCAACATGGCAAAGACAAAATAAATTAGTTTAGACTGGAGAAAAAGAATTATTAATGGTCACAAAGGAGGAGAAGGATATACACGTTTATCGAAGCGTTTTCAAGTGTCAAGAACTGCCGTGAGAAGTATTATCAAGAGACCCATACAGTGGAGAACATGACTGGCAGAGGAAGGAAGTGAAAGATTTCAAAACATTGGAAAGAAAACAAAAAAAATCCCTAGACTAAAGATTTTTCTAGTCAACTAATAGTCGTTCATTTTAAGCATTAGTCACACGTTTACTAATGAACCATTTAAATCATGCTAATAAGCCTTTAATTGCCTACATAGCCTAATAAGTGTTCAAGCGCATGCATAAAGCTTGCCACAGCACAACGGCAGAAGTAATGATGAGGAATGTATCAGGGAAAAACAGTAAGATTAAACGGCATTAACATTTTAATAATCTATTGATAAACTAGCGTTTTCTGTGATTTCGGCTTAAGAGAAGAATTCGGCGACACTGAATCATCATCTCCACAGTAGTGGATGCGCCTGCATGCAAGTTTCATATGGATTACATAATCTGAGAATATTTTTTTTGTTTTACTTTCAGATTTGAATTGTTTCATTTGAAAGTAGCCATTTATCTCTATAAGTAGGGTATAAGGCAAGTATACACTGAGTTTCGCGTTCAAGTTCACAGAGGCCGAGACGGCAGAAAGTGCATCCGGTTTGCTTTCATTATTTTAAAAAAGAGCAATGTTTTGTTGTTATAGTGAGTGCACACAAATAAACGTACAGGCTTTACAGATTCGAAAGATGTATTACTCTTATTCATATGACCAAAATGACAAAATTAGTATTTTAAGAGCAAGTGACCGCACCGGTGCCTCCATCTATCATGCTGTGAGCGCGCTACTCTTCCGCTTTCACACTCCGCACAGACACTTGAATAGCGCACATTTTTCTAGGTTAACATTAGATTGAATGGCCTTATAAAGTTGCTACTACTTACATATTTCAGATGATAAGACATATTTGCGGTCGATGAATGATAGACAAGAGTTTTGATGTACTGTATTACCACAAAATGCAGCCGTTAACGATCTGTCCGTCATAGATTGCGTGACCTCACCACTTCCTGTGGATTTTTTTTCTTTTCTGTGACTAAGCGACTAATAAAATGTTAGTCGACCAAGCCTCTTCTCGACTATTAGGGGGCAGCCCTAGAGAGAGGTTTCTAAAGACCCAAGAACAACTGCCAAGATACTAGTGATTGATTTAGCCAAGTCTGGGATTGATGTCTCAACGGATGGACAAACTTCAAGCTAGACTGGAGTTTGCCAAAAAAACTGAACAAAGGACTCTCTAATGATGAGTAAATATGATACCCTTGTGACCCCTCACAAAATTAAATTGACAGATGAATGTCTCATAATTTTGCAGTTACTAAATGACACAAAGTACATGTTGAAAGAGTTTGTAAAAGCAGTCCTGACCGATAAGCAAACACACCCACAGAATAGTACATCAACAGGAAACACACATGCGTTTGTAATCATGAAATCTAAGTGTATCCATTCACTCTTAATATCTGCTGCAGATGAAGTTGAGTTTGTGAGTTTCAGGACGGCTGATCCAGCGCTGATCTCCTCCAGACTGAACTGCTCCAGATCTCACTGTGTGTTCACAGTCCTCCTCTGATGTGCCGTTCCCTGGAGCCCAGTTCTGATAGCACACGGTCTCTCCACTCACCCAGAACCAGACGCCCAAAATGTGAGAGTAATGTAAACCCAACCACACCGCTGCAGTAGACGCCCGTTTAACCACGTTCATCACACGACGCTGAATCTCTTCTGAATGAACCGAGACCAGATCCACATGATTCTGTCTGCAGTATCTCAGCGCTTCAGACCACGCCAGATTCTCTCTGATCACAATCAGTTTATCTGGAAACCAAACAAACCACAAGCAGAAACGAGAGAGAGACTGATCAAAAACAACATGCAGAACAAACACTGTGGATGAGTTTGTCATGTCAGACGTGTAGCGTGAACTTTAAGAGATCTGGAGGTGATGGATGGATTGTGTGTGTTTCGTGAGGATCTACTCACCTTCATGACACACAAAAGGAAAACGGCTGTTACAAGAGATGTCAATCCATTGTTTCTGAGCTTTTGATTCAATCACTGCACATTTTTCATTACCTCCAGCATTCTTAGGTTCACCAGACTTCCAGTATCTGAATGAGGAATTACTCTGATCTGACCACTGCCATGAGTCTCTGAACAGACCGATCATGACACACAAAAGGAAACTGGTGGTTGCTGCAAGAGATGTCAATCCATTGTCCCAAAGCGTTCTGTTCAACAGCTGTACAGTCTTCATTACCTCCAATATTATTAGGTTCACCAGACTTCCAGTATCTGAATGAGGAGTTACTCTGATCTGACCACTGCCATGAGTCTCTGAACAGACCGATCCAGGCATCAGATTTCTTCCTATTATTCATGATCTTCTTAACCTTCTCATTCTCATCCTGGTTTCTCACACTGACCAGATCGATGTGATTCTGTCTGCAGTAACTCTGAGCGTCTCTCCAGTTCTTCATCTGATTGATAAAGACGAGTCCTGTGTTTTCTGTCAGGATAAACAAAAGCAATGCTTAAGTATCTCTCAAACTCTTACACTGTAAATAAACCCTACAATGGCAATGTGTAGTTTTATTGTAGTTTTATAGACACATGCTCTATAAATACAGATAAAAGTGTCTTACATCTAGGTCCCATTCATTATGTTATGTGATACAAAAGCAAATGCTGTGACACAGTTTTGAAAAAAGAAACACAGAACAGAAAATATCATTTTAAGTTTAAAAGTTTAAGAACATTTTCTCTGCACCTATTAATAACTCTGGTATTAGAAACTTAAGTGTCTTAAGTTGTCCAAATCTTAAGGCTTTGTCTTCTCTGTTATACAGAATTAGAAAGAACAGCTGTTATAGTGAACTCTGTGTAGGACATGTTCGTTATTCAAAATGCAGGCATATTATTCATTTTATATTGACACTGACATTTTTTTAATTTATTTCTGGAGAGATATTATTGAGTTAACAGGCTATGGTGGTTTTGCTGTTGTAGAAACGGCTAAAGTATTATTCGTTATTTTTACTAATAGTTAGATTGGGCAGGCCTTCACAAAAGGGCCTTTAATTACAAAAAAAGTATTTTAACAAAAGTACAAACTTTTATTCTGGATGCGATTAGCTTCTTTATAGCAGAAAGTCAAATTGTAAATCTAACCGATTTGTAGATTAGTTTTAGAGATATTTGTTTTCAAGATATAATATTATTAATCACACATACTGTAATAACCATAATATTAGGGTATAAACAGTATCTATATTTTTATATTAATAGGTCATATTCCATGTTAGTATAATAATACTGGTATTTCCATAATTATATCAATAATAATGACAATGTTAATAATACTACTACCACCATCGTCTTTACCAGCTGTAATAATAGGCTAATTGTGTTGATAATGAAGCATAAATAATATTCACATTAATGCCCAAATGATTTCAAGCTAAAGATTTGTTAAAACTTGTAAGACATGTTTTCTGTGGATTAAAAATAAATTAAGATATCAAGTATGACTAAACGTGTCACAGAAGTTATTTCCTCACTCAGATCCTTAGCGCTTTTAGTTTGTTTTCATTGTGCTGCTACATTGTTATGATTATGAATATTACTATGAGCTTTTAAGTCTTGAGCAGGTAGACTATCTCTTTCTGTTTATTTTTTAGCAATAGGTTCGTCATATATAACTGCCACAGCATTACAATGTAGATTTGACTTGGTAAATATTAAGTTTTCATGTTCTTTTTCCATTTACAGTCATTTATAGTGTTTACTACTGTCACGTTTACATTTTTTATATGAAGCATCTTTTGATAAATTAATATTTATTTCATAAGGTGTTTGTACTCACTGTCGTTGCAGATGAAATGCCATTTTGTACTACATTTCCCATCATGCCATTGCCCTTTTTTCATAGAAGCGCACTCATCTCTGCCATCAGGTTGTTTAAATCCCCAGTTCAGATAGAGCGCAGGTTCCCCTGAAGACCACTGCCATTTATCACGAACCGTCTTCTGCAGCCCAATCCAGATATACTGAACACCTCCACCATTCACACTCTCGTTCAGCTCGTTCATGTCGTTCATGTTGTCAACGGTGGCCAGATCTGTGTATTTCTCTCTGCAGTATCTCTGAGCTTCAGTCCAGGTCTTCCTCTCATTTATAAAGTGATACTGACGCTGAACACATTCAGATACGGAGCAGAGAGCTGTGAAAGAGAGGCTTTGCTTTAATGCTTTTCATAACAGGATCAAACCTAATGAAACTATAAACCATAAATAAAACCACAAACACTCACCAATGAGAAGAAGAATGAAATAT